AAGGATTCTGATTTCAACCGTTGCGTATATTAGCTGCGACACATGAATCAAGATGCTATGACAGAAAACATTTGATTGACAGATGATCGTTGATATATGATTGGCCGAATTTAGGTGTTCAGGCTGATGTAGAACTAACTGGCCTGCAGAAGATAACGGAAAAAAGATAAAAAAAAGATTTTAAGACAGGATTTTTTTTTTTTTTAAATAGAAATTTTTCTACATTTTGGGACAATACCGTCTGATTAAGAGTACATTTATATTCATGTTTAAGTCAGAATGATTTAACATTTCAATATGACTTCCCTACAACTTGAAATAGTTTTTTGTACATGGCACTTTAAACTACCTCAACGCCTATTGAGGTACTTTAAAGTGTATTTTTCATACAGAACTAAAGGTATAAAGAATATAGGTATGTTGGTCCGACAGATCACTGCCACTCCCTTAAAATAAATAAACGCCCTAAAAAAACTAAAATCTTCCCATTGGGAAAAACTACATAAGAATATAAAAGCATAAAAATTTAAATTATAAATGGCAAACTGTGCATATTTAAAGTTTAAGATTAAAAATATGACAGTTTACAATTAGAGGAAATATAACCTTATAAAAAAAAAAAAAAAATATAATGGGAAAATGTATTAAAAAAAAATTCAACCATTTTGCCATATAAAGCAAACAAACGCGGGCTTAAATTAAATCCAATTAATTAGTAGTCCACTTGTGCTAATCTTGGACTGTGGCTAATGACTGACAGACTAGTAAAGTTTACAACAAGTTAATTTTTATCATCTTCTGCATAAAAACAGACTCCAACTCTGAGGATTCTGGCCTGAAACAAAATAAAACCTTTTATCTAGATTCTAAGGAGCTGAATTTGGCCACTTAGCGGCTAATTAGCCCCTCATTGGCTCCCTGTGGCCGCTGATTGGCCTCATCCCCCCCATCAGACCCCCCGATCTGCTGCCTTTAATCCGCATTTCCAGGATATTAATCCGCAGTTTGCTCCCTTCCCCTGTTTGCATTGTTTTCCCTTAAAGAATAAATAAATAAATTAAAAGCGTCACTGAAGGGGGAGAATCACAAGATCACTGAGGCAAAAACAGCCCAGAAAAAGAGGTTTAAATGTTTAAATGGACTAAAACTGGAGCTAAATGAGTCACGGAGAGAAGCTGTTTAGAGATTAGATTAAGAATATTAAAGAAAATTAAAAGGAATGTATTAAATGTACACAAATACCGCCTGGGTGCCTGATAACGCTGCGGTCTGAGGGGGTTGATAGCTAATTATTCTGCTAACGAGTCCATGAAGGTTCAGCCGCGAGACAGGTGGACAGCTGGGCTCAATGTTAGCTAACCGCAGCGAACCCGGAGCTCCAACACCGACAGAGAGGGCGGTCACTACGGTCACTTACCTCGGACGTTACCGCAGTGCTGGAGCCATGTTAGCAGCAGGAGAACCCCCACTGCGGACGTGACCATCTCTGGTTCGGAGGAGTCACCGTTCGGCTGCTGCTGCTAGCTGAGCCTTCCCTACCCTGAGCTCGCGCTGGCCTGGTTTCGCGGTTCTGCCGGTCGGTCGGTCGGTCCACTCGCTAACTGAACGCACACATCCACACAGGCGCGTGCACACACAGGAACGGAGCGGTTCCGCTTTTATAGAGCCGGAGGTGGCACGCGCCGCGGCCGGACTGCTGGAAGGAGGAAAATAAAGAGACGCAGCTCCCGCGCGCCCCTTTTATAGCGTTCCTGCAATCACGGTCCGCGCGGGTTCCCGTTCCGGGCAGCGCGTTTGAAATCCATTTTCTACCGGCTGGGGGGCGGAGCGGTACCGGCTGGGTATCAGTGCTGCACAGAGCCGGGTGGGGGTCTGCTGCGGATGCTTCACTGTCCCCGGAAATTAATCAATTAATACAGCAAGAGGCATTTAATTCAAGGGCGGATTTAGGAAATCTGGGGCCCTTGGCAAAGACAGGCAGGGGGCCCTCTTCACACATAAAACAGCCCCATTCTACAGATAGAGAAATGTACGGAAGAGGATTAGGGCCACTGAAGAAAAAAAAAAAA